ACACACATATACACACACACACACATATACACACACACACACATACATATACATACATATACACACACACACACTTGATGTAGTGATCGGCCAGTGTCTTAGTGGTGCTTTAATTTAATAAAAAGCACTCATTTATTCTAATAATTAAAATTTGAAGTTTTAAAAATAAAAAAATATTTTTTTTTTCTTACTGACGTCATTTATTTTGAAAGATTTATTTAATTAGGTTTTTTTTAATAATTAAAAATATTTTTTTTCCTTCTTGATGGCTTTTATTTTGAAGCATTAATGTAATTATTTTAATCATTTCAATTAAATGTTTTCCTTCTCAACCTAATTTTTTTGCAGCTTTAATTTATTTTAATAATTAAAATATTTTTTCTTTATTGATGTAATTCATTTTAAAACATTATTTTAATGAATTTATTTAATAATTAAAAATTATTTTTCCAACTTCATGTAATTTATTTTGAAGCATAAAGTTAATTTCTTTATAAAATTATTTTTCCTTCTTCATGCAATTTATTTTTAAATTTTACTTTATTTTAATATTTAAAATAGCATTTTTCCTTCTTGATGCAATTCATTTTAAAGCATTAATTAAATTTATTTAAAACATTTTTTTTAAATAATTCTTCCTTTGTGGTGCAAGTTATTTTGAAGAATTAATTTATTAAAATATTTTTAAAACATTTTTCTTTCTTGATATAGTTTATTTTAAACCAATCATTTAATTAATTTTTTTTCTTCTTGATGCAATTTAATATTATTAACATTACTAACATTTCAATGCAATGCACAATTTTCTGTAAAGACTTAAAGAATGAAAGATGAGTATTCTTAAAAATAATTTTATTATTTAATAATTTTCTATTAAAATATATATAAGAGCTATTAATTTTGTATTCTCAGAAAAAAAAAAAAGCAAAAAACATTTTGAAACTTTTTGAAAACACCTGAATAATACAAAGTTACAAGATCATGTACATTACGTTTAATTCGTAATACATTTTTTACAATTTTAAAAATCTTTTTAATGTCTTCCTTATCAGAAAACACTACTTATTTTATGATTTAAACGCTACAGTGTCACACAGTAACTGACGCTAAGCAGCTAGCTAAGTTAGCCAGCGTTACCTAGCTAGCCTCTGCTAACCTGCAAAAACTAACGATGCTCGTCTCCATTTTCTGACTCTTTTCTGATTGGCTGATTTCTCAGGATAGTGAGAGTTCGAAATAACGTCAGCTGTATTTCAACATTTATAAATGTTAAATAGTTCGAAAAAAGGCTAACAAAACACTTACGAATCAATGCTGAAATGTCAAAAAAAAAAAAACTGTACGAAAAGTATGACGCTGAAACAACGTCGCAATGATCTGATTTGCTAATATTTTAAATTGTTTTTCATTAAAACTGGATATTCCGAGCGATTCTGACGGTTCGCAATCTCATTTGCATAAATTTCACTTCTTACCAATCAGCATCTCGAACATGATGACGCCCAGACTCCACCAATCGCAGAGCTTGTTGTATCCGGTCTGCATGAAGACCTCCGGCGCGATGTAGTCCGGCGTTCCCACCGTGGAGAAGGCCTGAAAGAGGCGGAGCAACATAACGCATCACTTCCTGTGTGCTGTGAACGTGCTAATGAAGCCGTCGCTAACACTGACCAGCTGCCTCCGGTTTCTCTTCCACGTCTCGGCCTTCCTCTTGGAGTTCATGTGCTGAAACGCTACGAGAAACACGCGCAAATTACTCATTTAATACTGAATATTCACAAAACCAGGTCTAAAAGTTTCAAATAACTCAAAGTTTGAAAATTTTACTCAGAGAAAGTCTATAAAATGTAACTAACATGACTTAGCATTTTGTTAACATCTTTAAGCATGTTGCTAGCATGAATTAACACGTTTTAACACTATGCTAGCATGAATTAACATTTTTTAACACCATTAAGAATGTTGCTAGCATGAATTAGCATGTTTTAACACTATGCTAACATGTCGCAAACATGTTTCTGTCATGTTTAACCACATGGCTAACATAAATTAGCATGATGCTAACATATTTCTACCATGTTGGACATGTTGCTAGCATGAATCAGCATTACCGTTAACAGGTTTTAACATTATGCTAATATGAACTAGCATGTTGATAACATGTCTCTAACATGTTTAACATGGTGCTAGCATGTTTTAACATTACACTAAAATGAATTAGCTTGTTGCTAGCATGTTTATAACATGTTTTAACACATGGCTAACATAAATTACCATGATGTTAGCATGTTTAACGTGTTGCTAACATGTTTTACCATTATGCAAGCATGAATGTGCAAGCATGTCTCTAACATGTTTAACACATGGCTAGCAAATTTAAAACATGAAATATCATGATGCTAGCATGTTTTACTACCATGCTTGAATTAGCATGTTGCTAACATGTCTTTAGCGTGTTAAATGTGTTGTTAGCATTTCATATCACAATGCTAGCATGAATTAAAATGTGCTAATGTTTAACATGTTGCTATCATGTTTTAAAACATGTTTCTAAACTGTTGTAACACATTGTTTCTAATATGTTTAACATGTTGCTAGCTTGACTTAACATGTTGCTAACATGATTTAACACTATGCAAACATGAATATCTCTAACGTCTTTAACACATTAACATGAATTATCAAGTTGCTAACATGTTTCTAATATGTTTAACGTGCTGTTAACATGTTTTAACACCATGCTTGAATTAACGTTGCTAGCATGTCTCTAACATGTTTAGCATGTTGCTATCATGTTTTAACACATGGCTAACATGTATCTAACATGTTGCTAGCTTGAATTAACATGTTTTAACTACGCTAACATGAATTAACACGTCGTTAGCACATGGCTAACATAAATTAACATATTGTTTGTATGTTGTAAGACAATGCTCGTATAATTAGCATGTTGTTAAGATGTTTTAGCTCATGGCTAACTTGAGTTAGCACTTTGCTAGCATGTTTCTGGCATGATTTTTGCCAACACATTGCTAACATGTTTTAACATGTTATCATAGGTTTTTTGATAGGCTTTGCTCTATAGGAGTTGTGTAAAAGTTTTCACACCCTGAATGGAAGTTTATGGGAGTTTGCGCTGTTGCCAACATGTCGTTAGCATGTTAAATGTGTTGTTAGCATTTTTGATCACTATGCTAGCTTTAATTAACATGTGCTAACATTAAACATGAATGACCGTGTTGTTTGGATGTTGTAAGACAATGCTCGTATGATTAGCACATTGCTAAGATGTTTTAGCTCATGGCTAACATGAATTAGCATGTTGCTAACATGAGTTAGCACTTTGCTATGTTTCGGGCATGATTTCACATGTTTGCTAACACACTGCTAGCATGTTTTAACATGTTATCATAGGCTTCAGTCTATAGTGCAAAAGTTTTCACGCCCTGAATGGAAGTCTATGGGAGTTTGCGCTGTTCGGAAGTCCGACACGGGAATTCCGTACGTCGGATCGGTTCGAAAAGAGAATTCCGATTAGCCTGAAGCTTTGTCCACTCACTGAGGTCGTTTGATTGGCTGTGGTTCAGGTTGCGATAAAACTCGGTCCGATGCGCCTTTTTGAGTCCCGTACACAAGCCGAAATCAGACAGCTTGACGTGACCCTAAAACACACACACACACAGGTAATGAAGCACAGCTCTCAGCCAATCAGATGCCTCGCTGACAGAGAAGTGCTGTGAAAGCAGAAGAGGGCACAGGAAGTGGGTTATTGAGTCACTTCCTGTTCCTGTCAGGGTGTTTGACCTTGGAGTCCAGCAGCAGGTTGTCTGGTTTGATGTCTCGGTGAATGAAGCCCAGCTGGTGGATAAAGTCGATGGCCAGAACGGTCTCAGCTACGTAAAACTGCGTCTCCTCCTCGGTCAGTGTGTCCTTCTTCATCAGCAGCGTCATCATGTCTCCTGGAGAACACAACAGATCGATCAGACTTTGATATTTCACGTACTTGAGCATCAAAAGCATGCCCATAGCCAGCTATGAGATCCAATATGTTCAAAAATAGAAATTTGTTCTCTGAATGACTGATTAAAACTCCCTTATATGAGTGTCTGCATATGTATTTCAGTTTAGACAGTTTGCAAGAATGTTTAGCAGCTAGGAGTGATTTGGATTGATTCACTGATTCATTGAAAAGAATCAAATCGAATTGTTCTTATGAGTCAGTTGTCTTTCAATTAATCGTTTGAAAGGTTCTGAAGAAAAGTCTAAAGCAAAATGAAGTGAAACTGAAGACACAAACGCTCTCACCTCCGGGCAGGAACTCCATGAGTAAGTAAAGGTTCAGTTTGTCTTGAAAACTGTAGAACATTTTCACCACCCACAGACTGTCTGCCTGAACCAAGATGTCCCGCTCCGCCCGGATATGACCCACCTGAGACAGAACATAACATCAAACGCATAAAATAAAATAAATTACATTGCATGTAAGAAAATTCAATATAAATAAATTAAAACACAAAATAAAGTTCTTAAAAAAATAAAATGACAAAATAAAATGTTGTAAAATAAAAAATAACATATTACACAATAAATAAAACAAAATAACATCAAATAAAATCATAAAACAAAAATAAAAAATTACAAAATGGCACAATGACATGACAAAATGACTGTGCGATGATTATGCAAATTACATAAAATAAAATACACGAATTACAAAATAAAATGAAAAAAGACAAAAAATAACATAAAATTACAAAATAAATTAACCAAAAAAAAACACACAAAAAAAAAACGGCACAATGATATATAATAAAAATTTAATAAAATATAAAATAAAATAAAACAAAATAACCAAATTAAATACAATAAAACTAAAATGACAATGACATACAATGACAAAATAGACACAAAAAAATAAAATAAACATCAAAATTACAAAATTTTTGTATAATTAAAAAAATTACCAGAATGAAATAACATCAAATAGCCAAATACTACATATAATAAAACAACACAAAATAACAAAATAAAATCATTATTTAGCTTCATTTTATTTGTTAATATTTTGTTCTCTATTTGCATTATCATTAATTTACTCGTGGTGTGATCATGATGTGTTTTTAAAGGTGACATATCATGAAAATATGACTTTTCCAGGTTGTAAGTGCTATAATCAGGTCCCCGGTGCATCTAACAAACAAAGAAACGTGAAAAAGATTAACCCAGTAACTTTGTTTTGGGAAGCCTTTTTCTGCAAGCGTCTGAGAAAACCAGTGCGTCTGATTTCGCTCCCTTGGTGATGAGGCAAAGGGATCTCATTATAATATTACCGTTATCATTATAGTTATCAGTAACAATGTTGTTTTGATCACAGTTTTCGTTATAGCAGCTGTTATCATTATAGTTATTGGTACAAATATTATTATGATTACAGTTTTTGTTATAGCTACTGTTATCATAGTTATCGGTACATATATTTTTATGGTTACAGTTGTCGCTGTAGCTACTGTTATCATTATAGTTATTTATACAGATATTGTTATGATTACAGTTGTCTTTAAAATTACCGTGATCATTATAGCTATCAGTAACAATGTTGTTTTGATTACAGTTTCCTTTACAGCAACTGTTATCATAATAGTTAGATACAGATATTATGAATACAGTTATCGATACAGATATCGTTATGATTACAGTTATTGGTACAGATATCATTACAGCTACTGCTATCATTACAGATATTACAATTTTAGTTATTACTGTTCTAGTTATGATTACAGTTATCGGTACAGATATCGTTGTTATTACAGTTATCATTATAGCTACTGCTATCATTATAGTTATTACAGATATTATGCTTTTAGTTATCATTACGGTTCTAGTTATTATTACAGTTATCGTTGTAGGTAACGTTTTCATTCTAGTTATTGTTATAAATATCATTATGATTACAGTTATTGTTATAGCTAATATTGTCATTATAGTTATCAGTACAGATATCGTTATGATTACAGTTGTCAACATAATTACTGTTATCATTATAGTTATCAGTAACAATGTTGTTTTGATTACAGTTTCCTATACAGCAACTGTTATCATAATAGTTATTGATACAGATATTATGAGTAGAGTTATCGGTAGAGATATCGTTACTATTACATTTATCGTTACAGCTACTGCTATCATTACAGATAATAAAATTTTAGTTATTACTGCTCTAGTTATGATTACAGTATCGGTACAGATATCGTTATTATTCCAGTTATCATTATAGCTACTGCTATCATTATAGTTATCATTACAGATATTATGATTTTAGTTATCATTACGGTTCTAGTTATTATCACAGTTATCGTTGTAGGTAACGTTATCATTCTAGTTATTGTTATAAATATCATTATGATTACAGTTATTGTTATAGCTAATATTGTCATTATAGTTATCAGTACAGATATCGTTATGATTACAGTTGTCAACATAATTACTGTTATCATTATAGTTATCAGTAACAATGTTGTTTTGATTACAGTTTCCTATACAGCAAGTGTTATCATAATAGTTATTGATACAGATATTATGAGTACAGTTATCGGTAGAGATATCGTTACGATTACATTTATCGTTACAGCTACTGCTATCATTACAGATAATAAAATTTTAGTTATTACTGCTCTAGTTATGATTACAGTATCGGTACAGATATCGTTATTATTCCAGTTATCATTATAGCTACTGCTATCATTATAGTTATTACAGATATTATGATTTTAGTTATCATTACGGTTCTAGTTATTATCACAGTTATCGTTGTAGGTAACGTTATCATTCTAGTTATTGTTATAAATATCATTATGATTACAGTTATTGTTATCATTCTAGTTATCGTTATAAATATCGTTACGATTGCAGTTGTAGTTATCATGATCATTATGGTTATAGTTATGGTTACTGTTCTTGGTGTGAAGTGTGCGTTTGTTACCTCTTCATCAGGCAGTCCTTCCTCATCCATCACCTTCTCCAGTTTTTGCTGCCTGTCAACAGAATGTTCTAATTACAAGATGCAAATTGCAATATTTCTCATCATATTTCTGCAGTATGCAGACTACTACATTAGTCAAAATATATAAATTTTAAACAAATAGTAGGTAGTATTCAGTGGATACTGTGCAGCACACTAATAATAATCCATCATAATATTGAAGTAAACATCATGATCATTATGGTTATAGTTATGGTTACTGTTCTTGGTGTGAAGTGTGCGTTTGTTACCTCTTCATCAGGCAGTCCTTCCTCATCCATCACCTTCTCCAGTTTTTGCTGCCTGTTAACAGAATGTTCTAATTACAAGATGCAAATTGCAATATTTCTCATCATATTTCTGCAGTATGCGGACTACTACATTAGTCAAAATATATAAATTTTAAACAAATAGTAGGTAGTATTCAGTGGATACTGTGCAGCACACTAATAATCCATCATATTATTGAAGTAAACTAATGAGTGTATAAAATTAGACTTCAGTTTTAAAACAAAATGGTAGCTCTGTACAATCCAAACAGCTTCTATCAAATACAATATTTCGGATAAATAGAGTAAAATATGAAACGTGTATGTTTTATAATGATACACTTACCGAAGTTCAGAACATGTAATTATGGAATGTTGGATGGTGGGGGCGGGGCCACACGCGTGACGTCAGAGGCGAGCGTTCCACCAAACACGCCAAACTCAACGTTTGAAACGAAATAAAACACCGAAAAGCTGCGCCAACCTGAGCTAAAGTTCCTCAGAGCCTCTCTCTGGCTCTTGAAGGACGATGCTTCCCTCGACACGTTCTCTCTTGGCCAACAGACATGAAGCGACTCCCAAAAAAGAAAGAAAAATTTAAAAAAACGGGAGAATTTTCCAAGTTTTTTTTTTTTTTTTTAGACGCGCCGAGCGAAAAACGGAACGGAGAAACGCGTGCGTGCTTGACGAGGTGAAGCGTTACTTTATCCAGCAACAATGAGGCGTTATGAGCAACTTCTGCGTTTGTCAGACTGATGCGATGACGATTCCAGCAGAAAGACATGAGAAATGAAGTGAAATGAGACGCTCCGCCCCTAAAGAGAGAGAGAGAGAGAGATGAGATATTTCCACACAATTCTTTTTTCGCTAAAAAATATTTTTAGTAAAAAAAAATATATATATATATATATATTTAGAGACTTTTAGGCATGTGATATAATGCGCGAACATTTTAAAATCGCTACTGTGTAGAATAAATGCAATTTTTATTTAAAAACATTTAGTAAATATAAGTAATAAGTGTTTATTATATCTATTTATTAGTTTTTTTTGTAATTAAAAGTAATTACAATTATACAAAAAACTAATACATTTCGAAACAAATCAATAAATGAATAAACATAATGAAATATTTCAATGTACGTGTAAGTTTCCATGAAAACACAGCAGATATGGTTTAAACTTGTCATAACTGAAACGCAAAACTGCGTTGAATCAAAAAGTAAAAGTAGTTTATTACATTTTTAAAAAACGATTCATTTATTTATTTGCGCGATGCTCTTGAGTCACTTCTGCGCCTGTGTGCGCAGTTCCTCGCATCTACGACGCTCTTGACGCGTCCGCGTTGAGCTGCGCCGGAAGTGACCGACCGGCGGCGTCGCGCTACTAGCAGCTCGCGCTAACCGTACCGGGACCGGCGGAACCGACACCGGAGCCGAAACGTTTAGGATTCCAGCGGACAGATCGCGCATCTTCTCCGAATCTGGAGCTTGTCTGCAGTTGGCGGGTGAGTTAACGTTACGCGACTGGAAGGTTAAACGATCGAATAAACAGCGAACCGGATCGGGATTCGAACCCTCGACCGTTTACACCGGCCCTGAGACCCCTGATAGACCACCGGTGACAGACACCTGACCCGTTAAACCCGGAATCACTGAAACTGACAGCTCAAACACTTACTGTTACATAATAATGATTATAATTAATATATTCATATCAATATACATCGTTATTATTCATGTTTCAGTAGCATGACTCTTTAAAAAGTACACTGATGAATCAAATCGTAATATCATAATACAGACTGATAAAAATAACCAAATACCAAGGCATTTATAAGACGCTTCGAAGAATACTATGGTATTTACGTGTTGTTTATGTTATAATCACTGTAAACGAGTGAAATCTGATGTTTTACTGTTTGTTATTGATTTGTCTGTGGTATTACGCCGATTCTTATTCATAAGTAACTTACACTGGTAATTTGATTCGAAATGTTATCTGATTTAATGTAGTGTAAGTGTTTAGAATATTGTCCTGAATGTTTAATAATAATTTACTAATGTTTTGTGGCAGCGGTGGTGAGGAACCAGGAAGTGCGGCGCGATCGGCCGTCGTGACGTAAGCTCGAGGTGCTTTTGTTTGGGGGCGTGGCCTGTAGGCGTCTTCTAACTCGCGATTGGTGAACAGGTAAAATTATTAGCATTTTATGACATTCCTCACCCATTTTTTTCAGTTATAAATTAACTTTGACCTGTTCGCAGGTGTCCAGCCATCCTGCTGTGGCTCTGCGGGCGCGCACTGGGCGGAGTCAGGTTCAGACTCGGGCTGTGATTGGCTGGGAGTGATGAGTGGGCGGCGGGGGGGCGTGGCTGTGGTCCGCGAGCGGGGGCGGGGCGTGGATTCGTCGTGCTGGTTCGCGCCCGGCGCATTGCGACGTTTGTTCGAGCTGCCGGCGCCGATCCTGTCGCGCCACCAGCTGAAGCGTCTGGAGGAGCATCGCTACAGCAGCTCGGGACGCTCGCTGCTCGAACCCGTCATGCAGCGCTACTGGGAGTGGCTGGTGAGCAGGATGCCGCCCTGGATCGCGCCCAACCTCATCACCATCGTCGGTTTGGCGACGAACATCTTCACCACGCTGGTGCTGGTGTATTACTGCCCGACCGCCACCGAACAGGTACCACGCAGGGATATGCGCTTGTCAAATTTTCATGTTGCGATTAATTGCTAATGCTTTTATCACGGTATACGGTATTATCACGATATTGAAATTTAGTTGCAAAAAAAGTGTTGTCATAATACAGTATTTATAATACAGGTTTAGTAACTTTTTCTTAATAACAGAAATAACTGAACATTTAAATACAATAAAGCAACGCACAAAAATTTTATAAAGTTAAATATTTTACACAGATTAAAGTGCAAAAGAACTATAAAGACCAATAGGTATCACTTTACAATAAGACCTCATTAGTTAACCTTAGTTAATGCATTAACATTCACAATGAGCAATAGCTACAGAAGTTATTAATCTTTGTTAAAAAA